CAGGCTGGCCCTGAACTCACTATGTAACCCACACTGGCCTTGAATTCACGGCAATCCTCTACCTCAGCCTCCCGAGTGCTGGAATTACACGCATGCACCACCACTCCCAGCTCTTCATATTTTAATCAATGTTAACAAAGGATGTCATATAGTTGTAAGGAGAACACTTGTCCAAACTCTAGCCACAGCAACACTGTCTCATAATGGCCACTGTTTAGTTGTCCAGTGTGCTCTCACTAGGTGCTGAGACTCGTGGGGTTCCCAATGAGGATGGGTGGCAATAAAGTACAAATAACTTTTCCCAAGGACACCTGTCTCTTTCTTCTACTTTTTGCTGTTTACCTTAGAGTCCTATAAAACCAGAAGCTTAGCAAAGGGGGTGTGTATGTGTGCAACTTCAGTAATGCTATAGCCTACAAGTTGTCCACTGCTCTGTAAGTAAGCCATAATAAATCCACTTATGTGCAAAACTGAACTTTTCCAAGTCCATCTTTCTACTGTCAGTATCCTCCCAATTCAGAAACAAATGTTTTATTTACGCTGCTCTGGGAAATTCACCTAACATCTGAAGCCTGACCCAGCAGATCCAAAGATGACTCAGGGAAGAGTACTCATGAGAGAAATGCCAGGGTAGCCACCCTTTACATGTATATGGGATGGCATATCTCCTAAATGAGTCTAATCTACATGCAATGGACTAGAGAATATACCACAATCTTGGAGCGTCCATATGGGATAGGACTGAAATAGAGTGGTAGCCAATGTTTCAAGGCCCCTGCTATGGGTGGTAAGACATGCTACTGACACTCAGATATCTGCCCAAAGGGAAATCTGGATGGTTATCTGTCTCCACGGAGAGAGAGGTGAGGGCTATTAAGGATGTCTTGGAAACATCATGTGTTTTGAGTATAGGGGTGGCTTGAAAGTATCCCCAAGACTATGGGAAATAATGTCATTTGCTAGTGACAATGCAAATGCAATGTGATTGAAGGGGGGCTCTGTGAGACTACAGAAGCCCTACATTGACTTCTCTTCCTCACAACAGCAGAGATTCAATTAGCAATAATCATGCTTCGGATAAACCTCATTGGCTATGATACTGCCACTGCGCAAAGCTCACAACAGCAGCGGTTGAACTCCAATCACAACCCTGTGTCAAGCAAGTACAAGAAAAAGAAAACTGGGATAAACCTGTGAGGGTATTAGGACTAGGGCTGATGGAGGGCCTGGCTTCCTTGAACTAATCTCATAAAACAGACTGTGCCAATGCATATAAAGTAACTTCTGGTATTTCTATGAGTCCTGGGGTATTGACATAATTTATATTACTTTCCTCAATTTCCCTGCCCATTACATAACGCTGAACAAAGGCGACCACATGAAATTTGGAAAAAAGGGCTCAAGAGGATTCTGAGCAAGCTAAGATACTTTTGAGGTAGGCTAAATAGCTATATATCTCAGTGATCCACTGCCTGTACATTCTAGAGATTACCAGGAACCCTGAGAGCTGCAACTCGGTGTCATGGCAGAAACAACCTGAACAGACAATTTCAATTGGATTCTGGCCCAATCATGGAAAGGGGCAGAAACCTGATACAGTATATGCCATGTAGGTTAAACTGGGGTTGGAACTGCTTTAGGCGACTGAACCAACAGTGAGGCTAAATAAGGGGTTAGAAAGGACATTGCCCATTCCTGAAGGCACTTACTACACCAGTGACACTAGTAGGGGCACAAAACTGGAAAGGACAGGAGTACTGATACAGATATGGCCACCATTTGGGAAAGGAGAAATTTGGCACCTGATAGGCTGAGCTAAAAGCAGTATGGATGGTACTCGTTCATGAAGAATGGCCTCTGACTGCACAGATCAGCAGGTGGTCTTGGGTGGTCTTCTGAGGACTGGACCTATGGATGGCACAATGGGAAAGAGAGCACCAGCAAGTGCTTGCAAAGCCATCACGGAGACAATGAATATGGAAGGTGGTATTTCAACACAGAACCTTGGACATGCCGACTGTTACCCATGGAGGCATCACATGCCATGCTTGTATGCCAGATAATGAGGCAACAGTAACAGATGCTTTAAGCCACGTACAAGCAGACATTCCTAATACAGAGCATTTAGATAGCTACAAGCAGACGCTCCTAATACAGAGCATTTAGATGTCTACGACACTTGTCTTAGGCTCTCTACCTGGGAATACGGACCCTTGAAGGGTGATTGTGTTGTTCTAGAGCAAGTATACTGCTACAGTCTGGACTATTGTTGTGACATACTGGCCTGCTGTTCAGCCTTCAGTTAAGTGAGATATCTCTCCTTCCAAGTTCAGGAAGGTGGCAGCAAATAGAATGTAAGAGCCAGAGGAATGAATGGAGTATAGGGGAAAAAGTCCTCCAAATCCTAGCCAAAGCAACTCCATCTTGCAGTGAGCCACTATTTGGCTTTCCAGTGGGCTCTTGGCAGGGGCTGAGGCTGTAATGCCAGGCTGAAGCACAGCAAAATCACCCAGCACTGTCACTAACAGTACTTGCCAAGACCAGTGGAATTCCCAATAAGGATGGGTGGGAATACAGTACAGGTAACTCTTCCCAAGGACACATCACTTGCTTCCACTTTTTCCTATTTACCTTGGAGTCCCATAAAACCAATAGCTTAGTAAAAGGGCTAACCAATAGTTTAGTACGCTTAGTAAAAGTTTAGCAATTTTGGTTGTGCTACAGCCTGCAGGTCATCTACCGCTCTGTAAATAATCTAAAAGAAACTCATTTACCAAACTGCACTTGTCCAAGTCATTCTCTGGACTGTTAATGCCCTCTCAATCTGGAGGCAGACACTTCTTCTACAATACTCTGGAAAACTAATAATATATAACACAGACTATGGGTTTACCCTGTCATTACTCTACAACATAACATTGTGGATAAAGATCACAAAACATTCAGGATGTCAACAGAGCTTTCTGCAGCATGAATACTCTGAAGTGTAATGAAGTGACTGGTAACCAAATACAACTAATACTCAGTTCATTCATAAGATTTTTCTCCTGTGTGTGTCCTCTGATGTACAATAAGGTTTGACTTTTGAGAAAAAGTTTTCCCACATATGTTACATTCATAGGGTTTCTCCCCTGTGTGTGATCTCTGATGTTTAGCAAGATCTGATTTACGGTAAAAAATTTTCCCACATTCATTACATTGACAGGATTTCTCTCCTGTGTGAGCCCTGTGATGTACTGTGAGGGATGATTTGTGACTGAAAGATTTCCCACATTCATTACATTCATAAGGTTTCTCTCCTGTGTGTTTTCTCTGATGTAAAACAAGTCCTGACTTCACACAGAAAGATTTTCCACATTCATTGCATTTATAGGGCTTTTCTTCTGTGTGGGTTCTCTGATGCACAGTCAGTGCTGACTTATGGCAGAAAGCTTTTCCACATTCAGTACATTCATAAGGTTTCTCCCCTATGTGAATTCTCTGGTGCTGAGTGAGCTGTGACTTCTGGCAGAAAGTTTTCCCACATTCATTGCATTCATAGGGCTTCTCCCCAGTGTGTGTTCTATTATGCTTAGTTAGGTATGATTTATTGTAAAAGATTTTTCCACATTCCAGACATTCATAGGGTCTCTCTCCAGTGTGTGTTCTATAATGTTGAGAGAGAGTTGACTTATGGCTGAAGAATTTCCCACATTCAGGACATGCAAAGGGTTTCTCCCCTGTATGAGTTCTCTGATGTACTGTGAGGTCCGACTTTAAGCAGAAAGTTTTCCCACATTCATAGCATTTGTAAGGTTTCAATCCTGTATGAATTATCTGATGCCTGGTGAGTACCGATTTGTGGTAGAAAGTTTTCCCACATGCATTACATGCATAGGGTTTATCCCCTATGTGAGTTCTCTGATGCTGTGTAAGATGTGACTTTTGACAAAAGGATTTCCCACATTCTGGACATTCAAAGGGTTTCTCACCTGTGTGTGTTCTCTGATGGACAGTAAGGTGTGAATTCATACAAAAGGACTTCCCACATTCATAACATTCATAGGGTTTTAGCCCTGTGTGTGTTCTCTGATGTTTGGTGAGGTCTGATTTCTGGTAAAATGTTTTCCCACATGCAGTACACTGATAGGGTTTCTCCCCTGTATGTGTTCTTTGGTGTAAAGTGAGGGCTGATTTATGGCCAAAGGCTTTCCTGCAGTGACTGCATTCATAGGGTTTCTCCCCAGTATGTGATCTATGATGTTTAATGAGGTTTGACTTCTCCCAGAAAGCTTTACCACATTCATTACACTGAAAGCGTTTCTCCCCTGTGTGCACCCTGTGATGTCGGGTAAGGTGTGATTTCTCCCAGAAAGCTTTCCCACATTCATTACACTCAAAGTACTTCTCTCCTTTATAAATTTTCTGAAGTTGAGAGAAATATAACTTCCTCCTGAAGTCAGTCCCACTTTCATTATATCTCATATGTACACCATCATGTTTGAAAGGGGTGGACGTCCCACAGAAGGATTTCTCATCATCATTGAACTCACAGTGATTCTCTTTTGAGGGATATGCCTCAGGAAATAAGAGGGACGAGCCATCACAGAAAGTTCTCCCGCATGTATTGTATTCACAGTCATTCTCTTCTGTGTTCTCTCTCTTGTGTGTGCTGAATATTGTCTTTTCAAGCACAGTTTCATGACATTCACTGTATTCAAGTCTTTTGTTGAAAGTTTCAATGTCTTCAGGCTGAATGGGATTCTCTTGATGACCAAAAGAACTCCTATGCTTTAAACATTCACTTTTCTCTCTAATACTAGTTTTCTCAGGTTTAGTTTTGAGTAGCAATTTTCCACAGGCATGAAATGCATCAGGCTTTTTTCCTAAGTAGTTTTTTCTACTAATAACCAATTCTGAAATATTGTTGAAACTCATTCCATGTGAGTCAGAGTGACAGAGTACTTTCCTGGAAGGAAAAGAATTTATGTCCAAGTTAAATGGTTTCCCTACTACATTACCTTGTTCTTTAGCCAGCATTGTGTTATTGATGAATACAACTCCCCACAAGTGTTTAGGTTGGTTTTCTTTGCTCCTCTCCTTCCAGTGATCAGTTTTCCAAAATTCTGAAAATAAGAAAAGTTAATCTTACCATAGAAATATTAACACATTTCTTATGAAAAGAGATCCCAATACAGATGCCCTACATCACAGTTGTCTGTGGTTTTTTTGTTCCATTGTTTCTTTTTTATTTTATGGAAGAAAGGTAAAACAAAATAATAGTATAACAATAGTTAATACATTACATGCTGTTATCTTTAAAGTAATTGTTCAGGATTTGTTACATTTCTAGAGATGAAAGTAAGTCAAAGTATACAGTTTTCTCTATTTCAGGGATTTCACATGGGAAAAAACCCTCCATGAACAGAGTATGATATAGTGGGAAAAGAGAGAAGACTCTCGTTATTAGAACACATACTTTTAGTTCTCAAAGTATGAATAATAACCTAAATCTCTCTATGCAGCCCCCCCAAAATTATGATGACTGACATTCAGCAAACACATAACATTACCTGTACTAACCCATGACTAGTATAACTAGGAGAGGAAAGGTATAGACCAGAAAATTCAAATCACCACTACATGAGAAAATTAATATTAAAATACAGAAGGAACAGTCAGCCCACATCTACAAAGAGAATCAGCTAGAAACTGAGGGGGTCATTAAAAAAAAAAAAAAAAAGAGGAGACAGAGAGTCTAGCAGTGATGAGACACAAATAAAAGCTATCCCAAAGAAGAAAAATTCCCCTGTGAGTGGGAAAATACTGAGGTAGTATCTGAGTTTGAGTGGATCAGAGCTTGGATTACTGGGAAATTCAAAAGAAGGATCTTATAGTAGATGGGAACTACAGAGCCCAGAGCTGATCAATATCAGAAATGAAACTCTAAAGGGACAAAGTGATCACAGAAAGGGGTATTTAAAATGCTAAAACCTTATTATGAACTAAATCCTGTTGATACCTGAATCTCTAATGTGACTGCTGTATTTGGAGACAGGATCTATGAGAAAGTGTAATGGTGAAATGAAGCAGTGAAGCCATAAGTACAGGGCCATACACTGATAGTACTGTTTGACCTTCAAGGAGAAGCCTCCAGAACAATATGCATGCCTACTCTTTCTGACCTCTGTCTCTCTGATTACCATGTGCAACTGAGAAAAGGCCATGGAGGACACAGCAAGAAGGTATCACCTGAAAGCCACAGAGAGGTGGCTCACCAGAAAACTGAAATAAAAAAATATATATATACTTGGATAATATTGACTATATACATGTATATATAAAATTCCATGTATAAATTATGTTAAATATATATTATATGTGATACATTATAGTGACCCATGTATAAAAACTTTACAGACATAGTTACATATGTTAAGTCTTTATACTTTGAGCCCTCTCTGTGGATTCATCAATTTCTGATACTGGAAAATACTGCACTGGTATTGAACATGTACAATGTTTTTGGTTTTTGTTACTTTCCAAACAATACAGTATAAGAATAATCTATATAGTAAACATTGTATCTAGTACTATAATCTAGAAATGATTTAAAGTATACAAGAAAATGGGGAAATACTGGGAGGAGGAATACTGGGGGTGAACCCAAGTCCTCACACATGCTAGGCAAGTGCTCCACTACTGAGCTACTTTCCCAGACCTTTTGCTTTTACTTTGAAACAAGGTCTCACAAAGTTGCCCAGGCTGGCCTAGAACTTGTGATCCTTCCACCTCAGCCACCCAAACAGCTAGGATTACACGCATGCACCAAAACACCAAAGTGCCATTTTAAATATAAGATATGAGCACCCACAGATTTTAGTATCTGCAGAGGAGCCTATACCCAACCTCCCTTGATACAGACAAATGCATACACCCCAAATACACACATGAAACTTATTTGTACTGTATAAAATTTCAATGACCTCAACTGCTTCCATCTTAAAAAACCAAAGGAGAGAAAATTAAACTCACAATTAAGAATAAATGTAGTAATACACACCACAACGGTAAAAAATAAAATCAATGAGTATTATATGGACTTGATGTTTCCTATATCTAAATTTCCTATATGGAAATCTCCCATAAATTTTGTTTTCATTAATATTCATTTCAAAATACTTTCTAATTTCCTCTGTATTGAGACTTGTTTTATAACTAAGAATGTTGTTTACTTTGGTAAAATTACCTTTGATTAGAATATAAATTCACTGTTTTGTGTTCTTACTTTTTGAGGCAGTTGATGGGGAAAGGCAGATCACAAATGTCAACTAGGTCATTTTGGGTATTTAGTGTTGCTTGAGTCTACTTTACCTCTGTTACTTCTCTATTTCTAGTTCTATCAATTATGGGGAGAAGGATGGAGAAAACTCTGAACTTAATTGTGGATTCACTACTCCTTTCAGTTCTATCAGACTTTGATTGATACATTTTTTAAAAAAATGTTATTAGTGTAAGTTTAAGATTATGTTCTCTTGATACTGATCTCTATCAGTATTTTTAAAAAACTTCTCTGGCTAGTAAAGTTCTCGGCTCTAAAATCTACTTGTTCTGATTAACAGCACTGCAGCCTTCCACTAATTTTTCCAGTGGATACCTTTTTCCATTCTTTTATGTTCAACATTGTAAACTAACATGTTTCTCTTATATACAACAGTAATGTTGATGACAATGATAATAGTGATAAAAAGGCCCTTATCTTTTTAAAATTATCTCATCTTGCCATCTCTGCCTTTAAAAATGGATGTTTCAGACCATTAACATTTTCTGAATTATCAAATTGGTTGTACCTTTAGTCAGTATGCCTTTAACTAATATTATATGACTTCATATATAAAACATTATAAAAGCATACTTTAACTTTTCTCTATGGCAATTCTGAGTCCATTCAGATACTATATTTATTAGTCCCTTCAATAAACTCCATGTTTTCCCACATGTCCATTTATCTAGTAACCTTTCAAGGGACAGAAGACACCGTAAATTGTACAAATTGTTGGATGCTGAGTGTTTTGGGATTCTGGAAGTATTTTTGTGCTTTCCTATAAGATATACTTTGTTATGGTTGTGTCTAGATGTCCCTCCCAAAGTCTCATGCAGTCATAGGGCTTTTTCAGAGGTGGCTGGATCTAGAGTGTGTGATATTGGGATTTAAGGTGTGTGGTTAGTAAATCAGTCTACTGACTGGTTTGGCATAGTTCTGGCCAGAAGTAAGGGTGTAAGTACTACACCAGCCCTAGTATGGGTAACCTTCATACACTGTAAGGGACAGAAAGTCTTGTCTCCCCTTCTCTTGTTGCTTTTGCTACTTTATGGGCATCATGAACTGTTCTCCTCTGTGATGCCCCTCTGCCATGTGCCACTCTGCCTTGGAGCCAGCTGATTATGGAATGAAACTTCTACAAACTGTGAGCTAAATAAACATTTTTCTCTTTAACTTTAGGTGTCAGGTATTTTGTCTCAGCAATGAGAGAAAAGTAACTAAGATACACTGACAGTACCTAGGAAGTATGATATGCTTGTGTCTTTTATGCTCAAATCTGGAGAGCAGTGTTGAACCTAGGACATATCACACCTCAGTCCTGAGCAAGGCCTTCTCAGCTCTCAAGTCCTCTGTAAAGGATGAATTTTCACTCTGGCTGGTGGGAACAGTACTTTCCTAGACCCTGTCTGAGTGATGTCCGTTCCCTCTAATTCTTTTCAAAAGTTCTTTCACTAATTTCCTGACACACATGCACTGATTAGTACTTTACTGAATTCTCCAGAAGACCAGGCATGTCTATGTGCAGATGGCACCTGTGTAAACTGTAAGCAGTCTAAACCTCCCTGAATTCACTGCTCCCAATGTTCAACTCAGTGAGTGTACAGAGCACTGTCTGGGTCTGCTCTCCCTGCTGGGTTTGCTGTCTCTGCTGAGTTTCCTGTCTCCATTTTCATGGGGCAGAGGCCTCAGGTCTCGTATTTTCTGGCTCTGAGTATGTCCTTGGTTGTATGATGACCAATGCCTAAGCTTCAATGATTCATTTGTCTCCTCTGACTGACCTGGTTGTCTCAGATGGGAAAGTAAATTCAGTCCCTGTTACTCCTTCTTGGCTGAATAGGGGAGACCGTTTTTAACAGAAATCTTAAGGTACAATTTTATGTTTATTGATTCTAAAAAATAGGACAACATATTTTGTCTTTGCTCTTTATCTTTCCATTATAGTTTTAAAAGTATCTATCAATGGTGTGTCAACAATGATACATATACACACATATAAAAAAAAAAGCAACAAGTTCTTCATCAGTTTGAAATATAAAGTACATCTCAAAGATACAGCATAAAGTATAAAACTAAATCAAAAAGAATCTATATATTCAACTACACAAGATAAAACTTTTCAAAAGTTGTTGAGCTATGACATTGTACAACAATAACTGCTATTATTACATTTTTTCGTTCTCTTTTTTTTTTGGTGGGGTTAGGGTACTAGGATTAAATCCAGGGCCTCTGCCCAGAGCTACATCCACAGGCATTAAATTCATCAGGCTTTTTATTTACTTAATTTATATTTAATTTATTTAATTTAAATTTTTATTTATTTAATTTTAAATTTTGCAATAGGGTCTTGCTAAGTTGTGCAGGCTGTACTCAAACTCATAAATCTTCCTGCCTCAGTCTCCCAGGGTGCCGGGATTATAGGCATGGGCCACCACACCCATTACTACTTAATTCTTTTCATTTAGACTGGTATAAAGTATTTAACTTTGGCTCTATGATATCTCTACATTACTGAAAAAGCTTAACATCTTTTAGTATTTCCATATCCACTTCTGTGTACTCTGCTGTGACACACTTGTTCATCCTTTTCAACCATTTTTTATCGGGCAGTAGTTTTTATCGTTTTTAAGAAACCAGCATTCATAACATTTCTGAGTGTCTCCTATATGCCAAACATTGTGAAACAGTTAATTCAGCAGCAAAGAAAACAGACAAAATCTCTGCTTTTATGGAGTCTATACTTCCTGGAGAATGAGAGATACTAACAACACATGTAAAGGTTAAATTACATTCAGTAAATGCAGT